CACCAAACAGTATAAATAACAACAAACTTTACATAGGCATATCATATTTGAGCTGAACAAAACCAAAGAGAAAAAGAAAATTAAAAATAAGTCGTACAAAGGAGCAAGAATAAGAATTACATCCTACTTCTCTGTGGAAGCTATGCAAACAACAAGAGAGTGGAATAAAAATATTTAAAAGGTTGAAACAAAAGCCCCACCAACCTAGAATTTCAGATCCAGTAAAATTATCCTTAAAAATGAATCAGAAATCTGAAGGAATTCATCACTGCAGATCTACCCTGTAAGCAATATAGCAACGCCCAGCTTCCTCTCCTTAGTGACTAGCCTCCTTCGAGTTTCTTCAGCCCAGGAACATGACTTGCTTTATAGCCAGGTACAAACATTTTATACTTTAACCAAATGTCTGTGAAGCATTTTCACATGTTTCATCTCATTTGCTCCTCAGAGAAGTCCTGGAGTAGGTAGATAGGAGACTTGGAATCCTATTTTCTTTTCATTAGCCAGAAATGGAGATTAGAAAGTTTAGAAACTTGATCCAATTGAAGTGAAGTAAAAAATGATGGAACTTGAAAATGACTTAAAGTTTTCTCACTAAGCAGAATATAGTCAAACACTACTACAGTTAAATGTTTATATTATAGTTTAATACTGTGTTCTCCTTGTGTGATCTACAATAATAATCTGCTTCATGTCCATTTTTACTACTGTGTTGCTGACACTAACCTGAAAGAGAAGTTGCGGTGCTTCACTGGGCTAGAAAGTTTAGCTAAATCAGAAAGCAGGTCTAATTAAGCAAGTTATTTCTATATGTATAAAAGGCTATGTTGACCCACACTTGTGTGATACATATAGAGTTCTCACTGGCACCAATAACACATGTGTGTTTCCATCTGTCATTGTCCATCTTAAATTTATTTGACACTTCTATTATAGAGAAAGGGTGAATAGAAAAAAAAAAATTCTTCTAATTAATTTCCTTTCAATGTGCATGAATTTGTGTACCAGGACACTAGTTTTAATTAATAGTGTAGGAGAAAAGTTGGGACTCAAGAAAAGGAATCATTAAACACAAGATACAACACATCTACCTTTCCTATCAATTTTGTTTGGAACTAATGTAGCATGTAGGAACAGGTTGAGGTGAAAGTGGAAATCCTGATTCTTATCTTAGGTGAGCCCCTTTGGCAATTTACTTGGTCTTTGTGTTTCCTGTCCGATGAAAAGGAGATATTACCAATCCTACCACTTTTCAGGTTAAGACTTACCTGAAAATTCATTTCCTGTTATAAACATTTATTGAATGCCTCACATACCGTAGGCATTGATATGAGGTGCATAATGAACAAAACCAATTCCTAGCCTTCATGGAGCTTCCACCTCAGTGGGGGAAGATATATGAAAAAGAAAGCAATAAAAAAACAGGTGGTAAGGGTTGAGCCTGAAAAAAAAAGTGTTTTCTTACATAAAGTGGCCAGGAAAGCCTCTATGGAATTTCAATAGATTGAACAAAGTAAATGAGTTGGAAAGGCTTGGTATGCTGAAGGAACAGCAGTGTGAGCTGATGGAATGACAATGAGGTTCAAGAGGTAGGGCTGGAGGTATAAATCATGTAAGAAAAGAGTCAGGCCCTCATACAAAGGCAGATGGGAAGCCATTGGAGGGGTCTGAGCAGGAGGAACATAACTGATTTACATTTGAACAGGATCACACTGACTATTGTGTGGAGAACAGAATAGATTACTGGGGGTCAAAGGTGATCAAAGGGAGACTAGCCAATGTATTCAAGTAGACAGGGTAGGCTAGTTAAGGCTACTGTGATGGTGCAAGTGGTAACTGGTCAGAGTCTGGGTATATTTTAAAGGAAGAGGCAATAGGATTTTCTCATGAATTGGATATAAAATGTGAGGGAGTGGAATAATAAGAGGTTAGACCAGAACAAATGGAACAAAGATGTTAAAAATATAAGTGAGCTTGCTTTAGAATTTAACGAGCATTATGTAAGGCGATATTAACTAGCTCATTCTGCACCAGGAAGCCAAATATTTGATAGATTAAAATTTCATTTTAGTCCCCCATGACATAAGATATTTCCTGATTTTCACCAAATATTCATTCTGCAAATTCACCAGTCAGAGGTCAGTTTACAATGGAAGTTTTCAGTCAGAAACAAGTTTTATTATAAGAAACAATGCCATCATGTAAAAAATGCAAAAAACTGTGCAATTATGGCAAAATGTTTAAAAATATCTACACATTTGCCCCCAAAGGACTACAGTACTTACTACATACCTGAGCACTGAACAAAATGACATTTAAACTGCTTCACACAGGGAATCTAATCCCTGCAGATCACTTCCACTTTTTCTCATGCACCAATGAGATGAGCTTGATACTTATGCATCAACTTTGCAGGATAACAGAAAACAAAGATTGGAAACTAAAGGATACAATTAAAACTTTCCTATAATATACTTATACCAAGTCCAGTTTTCAATGTCTAAAAATATATAGGAAAGTGCTACATACATTCTTCAAATGCGAAAACAAAGTTAACGTGGGACACGCATATTTTAGACCTTTATTTTATTTAATTCTTCGGTCCCACTGTGCATTTTACTTATATTCTCAACATACTATGCAAATGTACCTTCACTATCTAAACATATATCCACACATATTAGTCATCTTAGTTTCATATCCAAATCATTTAAAAAGTGGTAAAGTATCCTAGTTATACTATTTAAACAAATAGTTATTCATACAAAATTCAACTTATCTTCTATTCCCATAGCAAATTCTAAACCTTGGTTTGACACACTATACTTAGATCACGCTCTCAACATAAATTTTTATAGTAAAAGGATCAACTGTTGTGCAGATCAACAGAAAAAAACCTACTGTGGGACCACAGCATGTTGTACTCCTACTCGGATTGGGCACATGGCACATGTACGTTACTAACTCAGCGTTCTATGTCATATTTTCAAGTAACATATATTTTTCCTAAATAAATACAGAAGATTGTCAAGAAATCTTACTCAATCAGGAAATCTTACTCAATAAAACTTTCAAAAATAAATTACATGAACACATCTTTTGCAGAAGTTACTTCTGTTTTTTCCTCTCCTTTGCAATACAACACTTTAAAGATGCTTGAAAAAACTCATAGAAATAGCCCCTCCACCAGGGTGAGGATGAAGGAAAAACTGGGAAGAAAAAAAGGTTACTGGTTGACAAAGTTTATAAAGAGATCATATATATATTCTCAAGGCCAAGAAAAAGAACCACATATCTAGCTTCACAAGGCTAGATTTTAGAATGTTACTTCTACAAATCCTGTCTACTTTGAATTCTTCAGCAAACATTTCCTACTGTAGAGGTCTAAGTTTGGAAAGTTTCTGAAAAAACGAGGTATGCGATGCAAAGAGGCAATGTTTCAAAATTGTTTCACAGTACCACCTCACAATTTATACAAGTTTCTAATACAAAACATGCTAATTTGTTTTCTTTAAGAAAATCAAAATGTTCTAGCTGAGGGCAGACTCTGCACTCTACCTGTATCCTTTACTGATGATTCTAGGCAGAGTAAAACATAAGTTTCTGATCCAAATATCTTCCTGAGGTATGAATGAGTTGGTTTGTCCTTTATGTGAATGTTCCTAACTGATTGTTAGAAATTCATCAGTTAAATATGAGATGTGATTTAGTACCTATAATGCTATCGTCCTACTCACTCACTCTTTTCCTCCTCAGTCACTTTCAGCTAGAACAAAGTTTCCAAGGTAAAAATATTTATCACTGTTAGTGCAAAAATGAAAAAGAAAATGAGGTTTTAATTGTCACATGTAACTTAAAAGCCATTAAATTCAACCACTGCAGAAGTTTTGTTTCTTTAAAACAGAATTTTAAAAGTAGGTTTAAAACTTCACATTATTCTCTGTGCAGAACAGAAATAAGTTACCTTCCATTGTACCGATTTAAGACTAGACAAGTAGAGGATGGAAAAGGAGATCAGATAACAAAATGGCCCGTATTAGTGCAAATCTTCTCACTATTCTAAGACTGAGTTAGAACAATAACTGGCCACATCTTGCTATCATGTAAGTAGAGAATCTCGTGAAATCACAAGACTTCAACAGTCAAGTACAATGGCCATGGAACTCACGTACCAACCTGAAAGGTAGGCAGAGGCTCAGACAATTTAAATCCACTTAGCTATACACATGAATGAACTTATACTAGCACCAGCCACCTATGAATTTGAACCCTTTTCAGGATATCTTAAATAAGACAGTGTTAGTACTTGAAAAAGTTAACAGAAAACAGCTACTTTAAAACTTTAGCTTAATTCAAAGCTATATGGGAAATGGGAAATAATTAGACTGAAAGTTCTTTCTGAGATGATTTGTTTTCCCCTTTGATCTACTCTATAACAGAACACAATTAAATCTCAGTACACTTGGAAGCAGTACATATATACACATATACATGTGTGTGTGTGTGTGTGTGTGGGTGTGTGTGTGTGTATATATGTGTGTATATATATATATTAAAAATGAAAATCCCAGTTAGTGCTTTTCTGTGTTGGATAGGACACAGCTAAAGTCCTAGTGATATTGCCTCAGAGTTTTACCCGTATTTAAAATAAAGTCACATTAAAACTATTTTGGATAACTTTAACCAATAATACCTAATTACTCTTATTAGACTGCATAGTTATTAACTCATCTGTATCTCAGAGACTATCACAAAATTCTAGAATGAAAATGATTGTTTTCATACCAGAAAAAAAAAATCTGTTAATTGCACTTTGTTACCTTTTGCTACTGAAATGAAAACATCACAAGGATGAAAAGACATCCCTCCCTACACTGTAATCTTTCACTCACTCCGTGCACAAGCACTCAGCTTTCCTAAACACTGACAGCACTTCCTGCATCACTGAAAGACTGTTTCCTCAGGGAGCAGATGTCAGTGAGCTCACTAAGGCCGGCTGCTCAAAGTACTTTCTGAAGACACTGAGGATAGAGTTTAGCAACTGCACATTCAAAATGCCGGCCCAGGTCCCAGAGCCGATCTGGGGTCTCATATACTTTCATCCATTGGTCAGTGATGTCATCATACTGATAAAGAGAATTTTTTCTGCTGGTTCTGAAGACATGTTCTTCAACAGTCACTTGAGTAGCTCGAACAAATAAATGAAGTTTATTCTGGAAAAGTACCAGTTTAAGGTATGGATTGATGGATTCATCACATGGAAAGTCTTTCTTACGAGTCCATTTATTTAGCTCAATGTCATAGGCTTCTACTGTAAACATGCGTTGGTGATTTCCACAGGTTCCAGCTATGTAGTAGATAGAGTCTTTGTATACAGCGGCTAAGCCCTGGATTCTAGGCACAGTCATAGGGGTCAAAAAACCCCAGTAGTCTTTTTGAGGCTCATAGAAGAGGAAAAATTCTCCTAAAGAAAAAAAAGAGAGAGAACAAGAATATGTACATTTACATGCCTCTTTTTGGTTATATGTTGAAGACTAAAGAACATAATTTTTCAAGTATTTCACTTTCTAAAATATTGCTTTTATAATCTCCAGAGATATATTATTTATAAAATAGCCTAAAACTTCTTCATTCCATGGCACAACATAACACAAAATATTAGTCAACCTGAACTGGGCGTGTTCATAATGGGGAGAGGTGAGGAGTTATTTTGGCTTGATGGCAGAACATTAGTTAAGACCCTGGTTTGGACCTGGCCAAGGAGCAAAGTTGGTTACCATGTCGCCCCTACACCAAGGTTGTGGGTTCAATCTCCAGTCAGGGCACATACAAGAAGCAACCAATGAATACATAAATGAGTGGAACAACGAATCAATATTCCTCTCTCTCTTTCTTTTTCTCTACCACCCTCCCTCTCCCTCCTTTTCTCCTTTTCTCTCTTCCTTTCTCTATCTAAAATAAATAAATAAAAACTCTGAAAGAAATAAGCTAAAAAATTTTTTAAAAAAGACCTGGTTTCCATTTATTCTATCCAATTATATATTTCAGAAAATTTATTTTAAGCCAGTTCTACAAAAGCGTTATTACTAACTAGAGGCCTGATGCACAAAATTTGTGCAAGTGTAGGCCTTCCTTGCCCTAGCTGCCAGCACCAGCTACTCTCTGGCACCCACGACCCAGGCTTCCCTCACAGTGGCAGCTTCGTCAGGAAAGACATCTGGTCTAATTAGCACATTACGCTTTTATCATTATAGATTATTATAGATGGTTAGTCAATGAGGTCAAAGTATATATATATATAGCTTGATATTGAATAAGCCACTATAAATTTATTTGCTCATTATGGAATTGTTCAGATTTGTGTCTATGGTGCACTTATGTGTTCATTTTAATGTTGCCATAATGCAAACACAAATATTCAAGAGGTGAAAAGATGCTTTACAATTCAGTGTTTCCCAAAGTTTGGTACACGTATCCCCAGGGGTACGGGAAGAGTTTGGGGGGAGGGGGTACGCATTGTACTAGAGTTTGGTGGGGATATGCACTGCACCGTGCTTAGCTGCACCTAATTCTACATTCTCATGAGTACAAGGGGTACTCAGCATTACGAAAATTATAGAAGGAGTACACATATGTCAAAAGATTGGGAAACTGAGTTTATATGATAGAAAACACACACAGAGTTTATAGAGGTGACTTTGAGTCTGTTTCCAATTCTATTTTAACAATGAAAGGGTGTGCTAAGTCAGGCTGCTAATATTAAAATGTCTGAAAGAATTCAACTGGTGAAGATATATGCGTTTAGCTAATTATAACGTTTCTATAAAATCCTTGATATAAAAATCTGAACCCTTTATGAACAGATTAAATGATGCAAGAGATTAAATGATGCAACAACTACATAAGCTCCTAACTACTCATATCAAGTTTATTTATATAGAGGCTCTGTTTAGATTACAAATACCTACTTCTAAACTGAGCTTCTCCTTGAAAACTATTTTGAACTAGGTTTACTCTGATCTACAAATTTAACTGTCAACTTAAAAGTGATGCTGTGATTTCAGTTTTTCTTAAAATAGCTTGTTAAACTCCCTGCTTTCACTTGAACAACACCTGCCTTTAAATAATGAACTTCTAACGGATTCTTAGTAAAGAATATAGGAATAAAAACTTTCTAATGTGTACTACCTCTCTACAAATGTCTTATGGAAAGCAAAGATGATACATAAAATAAAGTTGACTTTTACTACCTAAAATCCACTTTAATAAATTAAAAGCAATGATGGGCAGTTAAGAAAATTCTCAGAGCCTCAGATTCCTCTTTTATAAAATATAATCTTGGATCAAACAATGTTCATTCCAGCCCTGAAATTCTATTAATTCCATGCTATTTTGCTTTAGTATTTATATTAATGTACAACCTTTACCTTCCACTTGAGTGTCTTACAATTAATTCTATATTGGTCAACTAACTGGTTAGCCAGTAAGACCAAAATACATGTAAAGAGAGCTTCATCATATTGGATGCTACAACCTATACAACCATACTCAATAGTTTATACATTCATTCTTATATTCCAGTTTTTGGCAAGACCAACAAACCTAAAACATGCCTGTGTTTCTCACCTAAAATAAGGCATTAGAATTAACTTCCTGGAGAATTAACTTTTACTGAACTTTAAATATGTAAGTTCAAGCTTTACTAGGAAAATTTAAGTCAAATAAAGGATTAGAGCAAAGAACAGAACTTAAAGAAAATAATCGGATAAGAACTTCAAACTCATGTGTTTCTACAAAAAAAGTTGCCCCTTTTTTCTTGTTTTATTAAAGTCATAAGTACAGAAAACATTCACATGTAAGCAATTAAGAAACACAGAGAAGAGATAAGGATGACGGTATTATTGACATTGCATTCGACATTTAAACAACTAAGACGTGTAAACCCAAACACAAGGAAAACATTAGTTTTCTCAAATCAGAACCTTGGAACAAATGTCTTATTTATTCTCACCTAGTCACTTTTTCTACCTCTCCGACATCACTTAAAATCTTTTAAAAAGCTAAGTATATTGAATATTCTTTCTTATTTATAATGTTAAAAGAAAAAAGTGACATCTCAAAGTTTCCAGTGGGGGGAAAAAATATCAGGGAAGGTAAAATAAACTGCACTGAAATTAAAATTGGAAGGCTGTAATTTAAAACTCTTTGTAACCTTTGCAATCAAAAAGCTTATACAAAATTCTTGGGTAATTGATTAATATAAACTTAATTAATGCTTTGTTCTTTTTCTTTTGAACTAATCTCTAAGTTCCATAAGAAAGAATAGTTGCTAAATTTCCTGGTTATATGTTATTGAAGAGCAAAAAAAGGTCATGTATCAACCTTGCTTTCTTCTTCTTCTTTTTTAAAAATATATTTTATTGATTTTTTACAGAGAGGAAGGGAGGGATAGAGCATCAGAAACATCTATCAGCTGCCTCTTGCACACCTCCTACTGGGTATGTGCCTGCAACCAAGGTACATGCCCTTGACTGGAATCGGACCTGGGACCCTTGAGTCCGCAGGCTGATGCTCTATCCACTGAGCCGAACCAGTTAGGGCTCAACCTTTTTTATGTTTCAAGTCTTAAAAACAGCTCTGAAGTAGTCCTCCAAAAATACTAAACTACTATTTATTAAAGAATGCTTTCAAAAATACTTATTCCACATGATGTCAAAACACAGTAAGAACTAGTAAAATACAATTTGACAACTTTACCTGCTACCCTTTCATGAAGAACTAAGCCACTTAGGCACCTACCCTGTAAGACATAGATCTTCTCTTTGTATTCCACGGCGTTATGGAACTCCATTGCAACAGGCATTGCGCAAACGGTTGTCCAACAATTTTCTCTGCTGTCATAGCACTCCACTGATTTCAGTGAGTTTCTCCCATCACCTTCATAAACACGCCCTCCAATGGCATACATCTTACCACAGCAACACACCAGCTTGCAGCCTATTCTGGCTCGAAGCAAGGATGGTTTGGATAGCCACCTATTGGTGGAATGGTCATACATCCAGAAATCGTTTTCCGCCTTATGGTCAATGGATACTTCACTGCTGCTTGGCCTGTATCCTCCTGCAATATAAATGTCATTATCTGGTGATATAAGAATCCCAACTTCTCTCAGATCATTTGGTGGCTTGCATAATTTAAACACTCTTCCCGTGGCTATATCGAGACAAGGCACTGTTTGCTTCTTTCCTGAGTGTTTGTGGGCAGCATCAAAACATATGATCATTTCAGATGCAGTCATTCCCAGTCTTTGTGTACAGCCATTAGTATTGGATGGTCCCTTCTCTACATAGCTTTTGGCTATAGCCTGTGCAAACCGAAGGGGGATTTTCTCTATAAAGGTTTCTTCCATTAGAGGAAAACGTATGCATTTGGCAAAAATTTCTGGAAGGTGCACTTCTCTTTCATTCTGTTCATATTCAAACCACCTTACAATGCTTTCATAAACATGCTCTTCTCGGTCCACATTTAGATCATCGCTGTCTAGTATACTTATCAGTTGGTCTTTTGTCAATTGGAGAAACTCCTGTTCTTTGGTGACACACAGAAACTTTTTACGAATGTATTCTTTTGATCGATATCCGAGCTCCTGATGACCATAATGATCGGCAAAGATGAAGACCCCAATAGAATTCTGTGGGTCCAAATGACTGATCATGTACTTAGCACACTGGTCTTGGATGGAAGGGATCTGGAAGATGCTCGCTGCAGTAAACAAGGCTTGAACATTGGCCTCTGTCAGAACAACTCTGGAGGTGTAGGCATACTTCAGCACTAGCTCCATTGATTCCGCTTCAACACCGACTATTCGCACTTCTTTCTGAGAACTTTCTGTAAGGCCACTAGTGAACATAGATCTACGAAGGAAAAAGTACTTAATATTATACGTGTGCTATAAATAACAATTATGGTGGCAAATATTTAGCAGTATAAATTTATCACAAACATAACCCTTGAAACTGAAAAGTATCTCCTAATGTGTTTCCTGATATTCCGAATGGGGATTAAAGTTACTCATCAAGCAGAAGAATGCAGTTTGCCTAATCTCGAAAATCTTATCGGGATCAGTCAGCTCTATGCCAGCTCCGAGACAACATATTCCAGGACACCTTCTCTCCTTAGAGCTCCTACCCACTCTTCTGGTCAAGTTACATCAGAGATTTGAGATCTTAAATCCCTAGGCTAGTTAGAAAGTCTAACACTTACTGGGTTGGGTGTTAATGTGATGCATTAGCATATAGAGATTGTCCAGCAAAACTCATGTCCCAGGGGAAACTTACAAGGCAACTCAGTCCAAAATATATCTTTAAAATTTTCATCTTCGAAAAAGAAATTGTTCTTTATAAATTCTTATTTTCTACCTACTTATATTTACAACTATCTCGTGCATGCTTCCTTGTTCAATGATAAGGAATATACAGAGCATCACTTATCCTTGGACATTTTGAAAACCTTTTCTTAAAAAATATACTTGATATTCTCATAGTTACCATATTTTACCTATGTATATCTGTGTATTAATAAAGATTATGGTAGGCTGATAATAATGTCTACTTCTAAAGAGAATTTAGTAATTAACTGATTCTTGGAGATAATGGTTTTTAAACCCCAAACTTTTGCCCTTCTTTTTTTTTTTTTTTTTTAATAACTGCATTTAAAGGCCTTTCTTGCCCAAAAAAAATAATAAATTACCAAAGCTTGACTCTTTAAGTATTAGCTATTTACAAACATTATTTGTATTTCTTTTCTTCCTTTAAGGTTTCTTTCAAAGCTGCTCTTAAAATTGAAATATAAAAATCAAATCCAAAGCTCTATTAAAAGCTTTTTCATAAAGGGGCTGCATGCCCTAGATGCTGACTAGATGACTACTGAAAAAAATTGACCTAACATTGGTAAAGTTAACTATACAGTCCCAGACACCTCCCTCATGCTAAGGAAAATATTCTTAAATAGGAAGATTTCCAGTCCTTTGGAAATCAAATGAATTTAAAAATGCAATCTGAGAAATTCTGGAGGTATACAAGGTATCACAAGGACCCAGCTTGCTGCCTGAGTTCTATTTTTTACTTTTACAATGTAAATTTTAAGTTTAATATCACACAGGCTTTTTTTTTATGACTGAGAACTAGATGTTCCAATGTATGAGCTGGTTTTCAATTCAGGTGCTGAAAGCCTCAGCGATACAGATACCAATTAAAGATAAAAAGCAAGCCCTTCATTAGGCACAGTTTAGCTCCCAAAGGAGAGCACTGATCCAGGTCCCTTTATCATGGGAACCGCTGCTGGCCTGAGCAGGCTGGTCTCCCAGCAGGAGCACTGTGACACCTGAGGAGCACTCCTGGGTTCTAACAGGTGCTTTATGCAAACGCTATGTAAAGCAGGAGCACTTGGTCACACAAAACCTGAACAGCAAAGCCTTTGTAATAATATAAATTTTAATTCCGAGAAGTCATTGGAATCATGAAACAGCCATACCAGATTCCAAGCTATTCTAATTCTCCCACCAGTGATGCAAGACTTAGAAACCATCAAGTATGACTTTCCAGATTTCACAGCAGCAACTGCACTGTGCCAAGAAACTTCTGTGCAAAAACGACAAGCTAGAGGAAAAAAACCTAATCCTTAAGTGTTCTAGCCAAATATCTTCATTTGAATTCGGATATCTAATTTCTTAGAAATTAAAAAATATATATATTAAAGCATACTTCTTTTAAAGTGATTTGTCTAGGTCTTCAAAACTAATTTTAAAAGTATGACAATTCAATGATATAAGACAGTATAACTTTTTAGTACGGCACAGACATTTTCATTTTGAAGTTCGATGTTTTGGGTCTTTTGAAACTATTTAAATCTTATATAATAAAAATTCCTGAGAGGCAGCTTTAAAGAGAACCCACACTCTTGTCCCTTAAAGCCTTGCAGTGACTAAGAAACTTGGCTATGGAATCAAATCCAACCTCTGCCACGTCCTAGACGATTTAGACACCACTTAACCTCCACCCTCACCTGTTTTATCAGATGTAGAATAGGAATAACAACTATGCAGAGACAGAGTTTTAAATGATATAAAGCAATATATGCAAAGTAAGCTTAGCCCAGAGTTTGATGAGCATTTAATTATGACATCTATCTCAATATTTTATTCATAAAGACCCTAATCATATCTAATGGATAGACCCGGTAGTTTCCACTACCAGCCCAAACTTCATAATTTTTGTATTTGAATGTCTTTTTTTTCCCCCTTTTCCAGCTCACTGCCTCATGACGGTTAATACTTAATAGTCCAATGACCTACCCTAGCAAGTCTACATGGTTACATCACAAGCATGAGGAGGAAGTGACTATATTTAACTATGTTCTGAGAAACAGGAACCAGAAACTGCCACGTGGAACACTACACTGCCATATGCCCTACAAAGGTAAGCACCTTCAAAAGGAAAAAGCACTTTGAGTGTGGTTGAGGAAATTACTTCCTGTTCATTCATGCACTTTATTGGACACTGAATGACTTTAAAAAAAAAAAAAAGCACTTGAAACAAAAGGAGAACTTAAACTCAAGCAGGAAGCTGCCTTTATCACTGATCTTTTCTTAGAATGTGAAATCCTATTTTAGACTCTAGTTTTAAAATTTAACTTTTCAAAGTTTTTTAAAGATGGATATAAACGAAAATGAGAACTTAGCTTCAAAATACTTTGAAATCTTGGAAATAATTATTAGTCTGGGGCATAAGGTACACAGAAAACTACATTTCATTTACTTTTATTTCACTGCTTTTATCCCCAAGGAATTAAAACAATCTATTAATAGGTTTCTTTTGTTTTTTTGTTTTTTTTTCAAAAGAACAGGCTATTATGCTTTAAACTCTAAAAGAGTTACACGCACTAAAGAAACATGCATCATGGATAAAATTTTGGAACCAATTCTTTACAGGCACCGCTCAACACAATTTCAGGGATGGAAGTGCCCTCTACCTGGGCTGTGCATGTGGCAGCCACCGCCTCCATGTGGCTACTGAGCCCTTCAAATGTGCACAGTGTGCCTGAGGAACTGAAGTTTTTAAATTGTGTTTCATTTTAAATAAACTTCGATGCCACAGGTGGCTAATGGCTGCCATATTGGGTAGCACGACTCTAGACTTTCTGGTCATTTATATGACAGACAGACAGAAACACAGGAACTTACACACACACACACACACACACACACACACACACACACACACACAAACACCTGAATTCTAGAAGAATCCGACAAGTCAACAGCAAGAAAAAAAAAGAAAGAAAGAAAAGAATAGGGCCTGTTATCCTTTTTCAGGAAACAGACTGGGGGTTCCGCCTCCTCGCGGCGGGCAGGGCAGTCACAGGGGCCGTGGCCGGGCAGGGAGTGCCCGGGCAGGGAGCTCGGCGTGGGCCGAGGCCTCCACGCGGTCATACCTGAAGTAGGGGCTGATGGCAGCGAGAACGTTTCTATGACAGGAAAATGTTTTCCCGCGATCCACTTCCACTACAATGTCTGTCAACTGTCCTTCATCGAGCATTGTTTTGAGCTGCTTAAGAATACTGCAAGCGTGAAAGGGGTCCATGGCATCGCTGGCTGTGTCTGCAGATGGAATCCCGGGCGGACTTGGGGAAGGCTTATTTACATCTAGGAGAAAAATCGTACAACCACAGGAGTTCGGGACCGCGGGCGGCGTCGGGGGTGTTTGTGTGTGTGTGTGTGTGTGTGTGTGTGCGTGTGTGCGCGTGTGTGTGTGTGATGGTGTGTTCGCTGGCTTGGCGTGTTGCACTCCCGTGCGGACACACACGTGTGCATGTATGCGCACCGCCGGGCGGGGCCGCGGGGCCGCACCTGGGGGAGGCGAGCGGCGCGGCAGGTCCAGCCCGGCCCGCGCCCGGAGCCCGGAGCCCGGCGAGCCCGCAGCCCGCAGCCCGCAGCCCGCGCTCGCGGGGCGGCCGCGCGCACCGAACGGCCGCACCGCCCCGGCCGCCGGGCGCCGCCGCGGGCACGAGCCTCCCGAGGGGCGCGCGAGGCGGCGGCCGCCGGTACCGCTCCAACTGCCCCGCGGGAGGTCGGACCTGACTGGCGGCGGGTACCCGGCCTCGCCATCCTCGTCCGACCGAACCGCCCACCGCCCTCCACGCCACCCGTCCCCTCCCCTCATCCCGCTTCACCTCTCCATCTTCCTCTCCTGCTCCGCATCGCCACCTGCGCGGCGCCCCGCCCGCGCCTGGCCCGGCCCGCCTCCCCGCAGCACACCTCGCTAGCCACGATACGACCCACCTGCCGACGCGGCCATGGCTCCACGGGGCCCCGCTCCAGCTATTTAAAGAGGAAATGTCATTTCGCTTCTCTGGCTCCCGGGTTCCGGCTCTTCTAGGCTTCCCCGAGCCAATGGGGTGGCCTATGCATCCGGCTCCGCCCCCAGCTTCTGAATTCCGGGCGGTGATTGGTCAGGACGTGCGCAAGGCGCGTCGGGAAATGTAGTTTTATTGCCTCCGCTCCCGCGTGGTCCTGGACGGGTGGAGACCAAAGCCAGGGGTTCCTATTGGTTGGCTCTGAAGGAGGTGGAGAGCGTAGAGGCTGAGGCCAGCCTGTGTCCTTGGGGCGCGCGGCCCCTGCCCGGAGAGATAGTCCTCCAGCCTGGAGAGCTGTCATTCTGAGAGGCTAGGGTTGGGGAAGCTCTTATAGAGCAAATTTCCCCACTTTAGGCCTCTCCCAGGGCCCCAGCTCATTTTTTTTTGTTTTTTTTAATCTTGTTCTTTATTCCCTAAACCTCCTGCCAATGACTAGCTTCCGGTATGAAAGCAGGCTGTGAAACCAGAAAAATGTGAAAATGGACTGGGGCGATGTTGTCTAAAAGGTGCGAAGGAAATCTGACACCTCACCCTGCAGAAAATATCAGGAGGCCCAAAAGCAACCCACCTCTGATGAGTCACCTGTGACACCCAATTGCAATGGCATCTCCTTGGCCCAGTGCTCTGGTTTCCTCAGATTAGCTCAGTCTCCTTACCAGGCTGCTGGGGATCCTCTCACTCACACCTTGCTTTCCTGGGACGCTCAGAGAGCACCTGTTCCACTTCAGGAGCACCTGGAGTTCCAGGTACAAGGAGGAGTTAACATACTAGTGTGGATTTCCTTTGAAGAAATATTGGAGCATGCTTTGAGCCTGGAGCCAGGGAGGATTACTGAATATGGGGCCTTAGAGGGGACCCTTTAATTCTTGAGTTCTTAGATTCTTCACCTCTACATTTGGGAATAATACTTTCTGTTCTTTCTGCTTCCTAGGCTCCAAGTTTTTTTTTTTTTTTTAATTTATTGATTTATTTTATTTTTTTACAGAGAGGATAGGAGAGGGATAGAGAGTTGGAAATATCGATAAGAGAAACATCGATCAGCTGCCTCCTGCACAACCCCTACTGAAGATGTGCCCACAACCAAGGTACATGCCCTTGATCAGAATCGAACCTGGGACCCTTAAGTCTGCAGGGCAAGGCTCTATCCACTGAGCCAAACTGGTTAGGGCAGCTGCAAGCCTTTTGAAAGGAAATGGAAATTTTACTGTTGACATGTTTTGATTTACTTGTCTTGTGTTTCTAGTATCTAAAAGGGTGTCCAGTACATTATAGGTACTTAATATTTAAAAAAAAAAAATGTCAGGCACAAATGAGCCAACATTGGAAATGCTATTTCTAGCCCTTTGAAATGTAACAAAGTATCAGTGAATTGGGAAGAAGTTTCTAGTAGAGATGTAATTAGTCCATGCTTGTAGTTTTTCTAACACAGAAAAGATTAAACAGTTGGAACTTGAAGAAGCATCTTAGAATTTAAGTTGTCAAGAAGAAAGAGATAAAATGAAAAACAACCTAGTTCTCTCCCTTTGGTCTGATAAAAAAAATGTAGAGTTAATTCCTTGTGAGTTAATAAGAATTGGTGTTTCCTGGAGCTGGGATGTATGGCTGTTGATAAGCAACTTATAACTTCCCTTATGAGCAGCCCCCTGCACAGTGCTGCATTCGTGAAATTGATAAATTGACTTAGCTTTTGTTACTCATAACTCTAAATTTCCTTCTTTATGAGTTGCTCTCTAACTTACAGAAATAGTGGGGGTTTCACTTACAATGTTAATGGTATTAAGGAAAAAAAATGGCATAGTCATTATGATTGCCAGATTTATCAAATAAAAATAAAGGACATGCTTGTTAACATAGAAAATATTTAATCTTGTGAAGAATTTTTGTGAGTTTATTTGAGCAAAACTGTTGACAGTTGCTGGGAAACAAAATCTCAGTGGAAGTAATGCTCCAGAGAGTGGCAGTTTTGCACCTGTTTTATATAATACATTATAATCAAAAGAGGAGACTAAGTGGGTCACATGAAATCCATTGGCAATAGATGAGGGAGGCAGGAAAAACCAAAGCAAGGAAACCTCTGAAATTGGATAAAAAATAAGATGATAGACACAGACTTGTTTTAGTTAGGTGGGTGCGTGATAATTAACAGTCAACAATTAATAACAATAAGGAGAATTTTGGTATCTGCAGAGTGGTGCCTCTACTTTGAGCTGCCCAGAAAAAGGGAAATTACTGTGACATCAATGATTTGTTATCATGTACACCAGTGGTTGGCAGACTCATTAGTCACAGAGCCAAATATCAACAGTACAATGATTGAAATTTCTTTTGAGAGTCAAATTTTTTAAACTTAAACTTCTCCTAATGCCAGTTCTTCAAAATAGAATCACCCAGGCCATGGTATTTTGTGGAAGAGCCACACTCATGGGGACAAAGAGCTGCATGTGGCTCTCGAGCTACAGTTTGCCGACCACAGATCTACACTAATAGAAGAGAAAGATACAAACTGACCATACCTTCTCAATACCCACCAGCCAATTAGAAGTGAGTATGCATATTAACCCAACAAAGTTGGTTAATTTGCATACATAGGCACTGAGAGTCTGGGTAGGAAGAGGGGGAGAATATGTGTGTGTCTGTGTGGTGGGGGGGAGACACGAGACACAGGTGTTCGGCACCACACAAGCAGCTCCGGGCCTCTGGGCAGTGTGGGAAGGCTGAAAGGCGGTCTGGGCTGGAGGGAAAGCGGTGCTGGCAGCCAGGGGAAGGAAGATCCATTCTTGCACAAATCTTCCTGCATCGGTCCCTCTAGTAGACACAAAAAGACAATATACAGGCTCAGTAAAGGTAGAGACTTAAACCTTTGTCAGAGAAGATACTGGCCTAGGACATGACTACCCATCATAAACTGCTTTTTAGTTTTAAAAAAAATTAATTTTAGTGCATCCTTAGTGGTTACTTTAGGTCTCTCAGTTTGCAAGGCTGCCAGGCAGGCTTTCCCTGAGCTACTCAGGTTAGCAAGTAGCCCTTTTTCATCCACTCTTATTTGAGACATACTTAAAGCAAAATATCATTTGTTTTTGAAGTTAAAATTTAAAACATACTGAAAGAAATAGTGACAGAAAACTTTCCTCACCTGGTGAAAGAATTAGACTTACAAGTCCAGGAAGTGCACAGAACCCCAAACAAAAGGAATCCAAAGAGGAACACACCAAGACACATCATAATTAAAATTCTAAGAGCAAAAGACAAAGAGAGAATATTAAAAGCAGCAAGAGAAAAGCAGGGTAGTTACCTATAAAGGAGCACCCATATGATTGTCAGCTGATTTCTCAACAGAAACCATGCAGGCCAGATGAGAATGGCAAGAAATATTCAAGGTGATGGATGAATAGCAAGAACCTACAGCCAAAAATACTCTACCCAGCAAAGCTATCACTCAGAATCATAGGCCAGATAAAGAGCTTCATTAATAAAAAAAAATGCTAAAGGAGTTCATTACCACCAAACCAGAATTATATGAATTGCTGAAGGGGGTTCTTTAGGAAGAGGAAGAAAATAAAGATAAAAATTATGAACAACAAATACGTAACTATCAACAAGTGAATCTAAAAACCAAGGGAATTAAAAAATCTGATGAACAATTTTAACTGGTGAATATAATAAAATCAGAGGTATGAAAGGGGAGTGGACTGACGATTCTCAGGGGAAAAGGGAGTGAGGGGCGTGGGAAGAGACTGAACATAAACTGTGCACCTATGGATGAGGACAATGGGGGGTGGGGAAAGGGCAGAGGGAGGGATGGGAACCTGGTGGAGGGGAGCAATGGAGACAGGGAAAAAATGAGGAACATTTATAATAATATGAACAATAAATATTTATTTTAAAAAAATTTAACTGGGTGTTCTGTATTTTATCTTTCAACTTATCCAAACCTGTAAAAATAGAGATTTTCTTTTGTGTTTTGATTTTGTTGTAGCTGCATATCTCAGCCTAAGAAACTTGGCCAATTTTCTTTTTAATTCTCCCCTATTTAATAAAGAGACTTGCAAATATTGTTTAATTAACTGAAAGTTTTCTGATTTTTTTGATAAAAAGTTCTGAAGTTGGGGTGGACAGAATACAAAAAACAAAGACCAATTTAAATATAAATAGAAAAAAACTAAGTTGAAATTGCAAGGCTGCCATTAATGTGGCACTGTAAATTACTCATTGTACCATCAGATGGCATTGCATAATAAAGACTTCATTATTAGAAATGCATTTTTAAAAACAGAATAAGTAGAAGAATGTGGAAATTGCACCAGTGGTTTTAGGGTTAATACTAAGTAGCCAAAGGCTACAGCTTTGTTTTTTAAAAGATCTACCGTATTTTCCGGCTTATAAGAGGACCCCCTAATTTTACAGTTAAAACATAGGTTTAGGCCTATATTCGCTGTATAAGACTACCCCCCCCCCCCCCCACTTCCAAGGCAACACCAGTTCTTTTTTTAATAGACTGCCTCTCTGACTCTGGCCAATCTGAGCAGGCTTTTTACTAGAACACAGTGTAGCTTCGGGGACAGAACATGTATAATTTGCATGCATTAAAAGCCTGCTTGGATTGGCTGAGTTAGAGAGGCGGTCTGAGCAGCCTTGCAGTGATTGGTGCGGAATAGAGTTGGAAAATTCGTTTAGCGGCATATCGAGACCTTTTTGGGGATATACTCGGCGTATAAGACGACCCACGATTTTCGGTTGACTTTTTTGTTTCAAACGTCGTCTTATACGCCGGAAAATACAGTAATTTGAAATTTAATGAAAACCTGTCAATCCAGGAAGGCAGCAATAAAAGTAAACCAATTTTCTTCTTAAAGTATTAAGTATTATATTGTCCCCTGAAGTAACTTTCTCAAATTTTTACAGTTTAAATAAAATTTAGTAAGGTTGAAAATTGCAAAAGCAA